ATAGGTTAATCAAAGGCGCGAACACAAGGTTTCAGTGCGTTTTTCTCTCTGGAACTTTTGACATTCCTGTGGTGTCGATAACCCATCTGGGGTTTGACTTAAACTTCTATGCGCCGAGAATCGACGTAGAAACAACCTTTAGGCTTGCGTGCTTGCATTTATGTGAACGTTAGAAGAACCCAAGGTGGTTGAAATTCCCAGAACCCTCCATTACGGCGTTTCTCATATTCATAGGGCGGTTTTTAGCATAGAGTTTCCTACTATACACTAGAGGGAACTTTGGCGCTAGTGTCTATGGGAGCTGCAACACACGGCGCTTCAGCGAGCATGGGAATGATGGATAGTACACACATTTGTCTAATTTTCGTGCTTCTTGCCTGCTTCTGGCTCCGTGTGTTCGTGTGGCTGGAGCTGTTTTTTCACGAAAACATAAATTAGCAAATGTTCACCGTTTGCACTTCACAACCTTATTATTTTAGGCTTACCATTTCGAATCAAGTCACCAAGTTCAAAAGAGTTTGTTCTTTCAAAACAAAACCGTAACCAGCAATAAACGAAGCCGCAAGTATGATTCGCCGCCCGCAAGTACGAAGACTAGGCAAATGTGTGTACTACTATAGTGCCTAGAATATACTGGCTAGTGTGCGGAGCGCGCGCATTCCGTACGAGAGAGGGTGGCCCCGCACGTGATGACTGCGCGCAGTGGCCGCAAGTGGCGCTGCCGGACGAGTGGGTGCATGAGAGCCGCCAAGCTCCTGTCGTCCCATGCTTTGCTCAGCGTTTGACAGCTGTCAGTGTTCGACCTGTTGTAGTGTTAAGTTCGTCGTCGCAAAATGTGGGCAGCAACGTCCTGAGATGTTGAAGGCTAAGCGGCAATGCAAAGAAAGGACGTGTTTTGTGCCGCTGTGCCAAAGCGGATATCGTTCGAACGAGGAAAAGGTGTCTTTGTTCACCGCACCGACGGACCCAGCACGGCTTGCAGAATGGGAGAGCAAAATCAAGAGGACAGACAGGAGACTGACGCCGAAGGCTGTCGTGTGCGAAAGACATTTTGAGAGTGGCTACATCGAACGATATTTTCAGACTACGGTGAACGGTGTCGTCAACGAAATCGCCCGAGACAAGCCACGTCTGAAGCCCGATGCTGTCCCTACGGTCTTCGAAGATTATCCGACACATCTTGTACCTAAAAAGGCGGTGAAACGAAAGGTGAGAAACATTTGCGACCAAGAACCGGCACCTAAACAACAGAAGCGAAATGTCGAGCTGGCGGACCCTGAGTTGTACGATGGCGATACGCCAGTTGACTCTAATTGCATCGCGCCTGGAGTTGCATCGGAAGAACGACAGCGTTCGGATTCCGAACAGGCACACCTTGCTGCAGAGCCCATTCTGTAGTGCCTGGTTTGTTCTATTGCGTTGAATGTTCTGTGAATAAATGTTTGATGCCTGCAGTATTTCAAACTTCACTGAATTGTTGTTTTTATCATTTTTATTATTTCGAGGTATCCTTAGATCAAATTCAAACACTTACCAATGACCACACTCATGGGTACAGAGCGTTATAAAATGGTGTAAAATACAGCTTTGACAGAAGTTTGTTTAGTCAGGATGCAAAATGAGAAACGGATTAATTTGTTGGCTTGTTTTGGCATACCAGCATTTGAATGATGCATTGAAAACAGTGCTTTAATTCTTGATATAACACTGAGCTATCTGGTTAGAGGGTCAGTTGAATTGTGAGAAAGCTCTCAGAATTGGTTGAGGTGTAATGAATAGTGCAGTTGTATTGTGGCATAGGAATCTAATAAGGAACAATTTAAAGTAGCAGATATAAAAAATTTAGTTTTTGATGCTGTCCATTGTGAAGCACATCTGCTAAAAGATTTTAAACGGCAACATTATAACCGTAAGGCATGTCATTATAACAGTTTTGAATTGTTAATGTAAGTTTTGTGCACTCTTTTATTATTTATTTGGTGAAATTCTCACTTTCAAGTAAAAATCTGCACTTAAAACAAATCGAGTGCGCAATATATATATATATATATATATATATATATATATATATATATATATATATTCTATTTCAACGTCTGCTTCCCAGCGCAACAACGCACTTCAGAATCTCACATGCCGCAGTAATGTCTGGTTTTTGCTTGGTATTGCTGTCATTCTTTGTGCGCACTCATTCTGATGGAGTGCAGGCTATGTGGTAAGTGTTTTCGAACCTTCTGTGATGTTTCTTGCTCTGGCAAAGTAAACTTTCAAAATCACTTTGGCGGTATACTATCAAGATTTTTTTTTTGCTGGTAGTAGACAGCGAGGTGTACGTCCCAAATGGATCTTCGTTTGGTATTGCAAAATACGCTCAAGTAGGTCTTATATAACAAAGCGTTTTGTAAAGAACGCTCTGAAAATGCGAAAAAAAATTACAGTTGGCCTCGCGCAGCTCGGCTTACTGAGAGCTTCGCCGCACTTGGGGAGCGCGCGCATTGAACGCAGACGCACCCACCCGCACATCAGCGCACCAAGCGGGCACCGCCGGAAGTCATCAGCGGCGGGGGCCATCTCCTCACCCGCGCTCCGCACACTAGCCAGTATATTCTAGGCACTATAGTACTACCCATCATTCCCATGGTCGCTGAACAATCGCAGCGCCAGAGTGCCCTGTAGTATTTTGGGAAACTATGGTTTTTAGAACAAACCTCCAACCTATGCGCCTGACAAAAGGCTACACCTGTAGCATCATTACATCTTCTCCAAATACGCGAACACGCCATCAAGTAATCCAATCGAGGGTGTGCTAACACACGCGTCACCATTTTTTGTAGATAGCAAAGGCTTCGGCTATCTCTCTTGTGCTAAGTTCAGTGTGCCCGTAAACGGTGGTCGTGCGGCTAAATTCTTCAATGCGGGCTGACGTATTGATGACGTAATGATACTACATGTGTGGTCATGTCACGTGCGCATGTTGTGTTTTTCCCTTTCCATCTGTTTCGCTTGAATAAAGCAACCAGTTGTCTGTCAGCCAGCACTCGTGCTGTTTCGTCCTCCTTCGCAATTCGCCTCTGCGCTGCTTCGACACGAACACAAGCTAACAATCCCAAACTGTCCCTTTTGCTATGGGATATGCTACACCAGCGCACAGACATTTCTCTGAGGTTTGGGAGTGCGCGCCCCGAAACGTCTCCTGTGCTTGCTCCCTGCGGAAAACACCGCGGGTCGTTTCCCGTAGACCCATCCTGACGAGTCAACTGTAGGCGGCGCCGCATTCGCGGTACCGTGTTGTGTCTCGGTATATATTGTATACCGAGACACAACACGGTATTGATGCAATTCACGATTTGCAACTCATGATTACGGAGTTACACAAGGAGAGCAGAAAGGTGGGTCTTAAAATTAATCTGCAGAAAACGAAAGTAATGTACAACAACCTCGGAAAGGAACAGCGCTTCGAGATAGGTAATAGTGCACTTGAAGTTGTAAAAGACTATGCCTACTTAGGGCAGGTAATAACCGCAGAGCCTAACCACGAGATTGAAGTAACTAGAAAAATAAGAATGGGGTGGAGCACATTCGGCAAGCACTCTCAAATTATGACAGGTAGATTGCCATTATCCCTTAAGAGGAAGGTATATAACAGCTGTATCTTGCCGGTACTTAGCTACGGAGCAGAAACCTGGAGACTCACAAAGAGGGTTCAGCTTAAATTGAGGACGACGCAGCGAGCAATGGAAAGAAAAATGGTAGGTGTAACCTTGAGAGACAAGAAGAGAGCGGAGTGGATTAGGGGACAAACGGGGGTTAAGGATATCATAGTTGAAATAAAGAAGAGGAAATGGACATGAGCCGGGCATGTAGCGCGTAGACAGGATAACCGCTTGTCATTAAGAGTAACTAACTGGATTCCTAGAGAAGGAAAGCGGGTTAGGGGGACACAGAAGGTTAGGTGGGCAGATGAAATTAAGAAGTTTGCGGGCATAAATTGGCAGCAGCAAGCACAGGACCGGGTTAACTGGCGGAGCATGGGAGAAGCCTTTGTCGTGCAGTGGACGTAGCCAGGCTGATGATGATGATATATTGTATTGGCACTCGGGATTGTTCTTAGGCGTGCCACTAGTGATGCGTTAGATTCGGCTGCTTTGCTCGCCGATGTAAGAGTAAATAAAAGCACACGTGTTTAGCAGCGCGACCATGTGGCTCATTCTGAGACCTCACAACTATTGCAAGGTATTTTTAAGGAGTCGTCAAGGTGTCGGGTAGACAATAATTTACATATATCTGGGTTTACGCATGTGTTAACATGCCAACGCAGTCCATTTATTAGATGCGAAGCAGTGAATAGCTTGTGTAACGCTGTCCGCCCGTGCCTCTGCACCAACGCGCTGCGCTCTCCTCGCCACAGGTGTTGGGGCGGTGCCAAGTAGGTCGACTTTGCTCCCAGCGCGGTGAGGTCACTCTCCCCCTCGCCTGCTGCGCGCTCGGCGCGTGTCACCTCTCTCGCTTCACTCTCTCCCTGCTCGCAATATTCGAGCACACATCGGGTGAACACTTTCGGCTCGTTTATCTGCGAGAAGACGCCCAAAAGCGAAGCTCCTTCGCCTGCCGAAACATGCGTCAATGCGGTTTGGCCTAACCCGGCCGTAGTGAGCGTTGCGAGGGTTAGCAGAGCCGATCACGTTCGCGAATGGCAACGTCGCGCCTGCAACACCGACGAGGTGCGAGCCAAGGAAGCCAAATGCTAGCGTCGGCATTAGAAGACGGACACCTTTGAGGCACAGGTGAAAAACGCCAATCGCGTTCGTGCGCAGAGGTGCTGCTTTGCATCTCATCAGAGTTCCCTTTAAGATGTGAATTTTTTCCCCTTTCATTACATTTCATTACACAATACAGCAAAATATTTCATTCTAATTACACAGGTAGGCTATGCTGCACTGTCCTATTTTCTCTTCCAATTGCATTCAGTACACACACACAAGGCAGACAAAGAGGCACCATTAATCGTCACATTTCTTTTTATTCAGTAAAGACCACCAGATACATTAAGCGTAGTGACACTGATGCACATGCACAACAGAGCGAGAAATAAAACTGCTTGTTCTTCGATGACAATGAAAAAATATCCTGCGACCCTTAAACTAAATAAAAGAATTAAATTTTTTTCTTACTTTGAACGAGAAAAGGCCACTTATGTAACTAGAGAAAAAAAAACGAGAAAAGTGACGGACAGATGCAAACACATGCACACAAATGGCTACAAAATGAAAAATAGAAAGAGGAGAAAGTGATTTTCAATGCTCCCATACACACACACACCCGTTGGACAGAAAAAATGAAGGTGGTGCAGTACGCACAAAGTGACACTACTACTCTCTTTGGAAGCCATGGGACACAGGAGGGGATAAAACATGAGGGGAAGAGGTGGAGTACACAAGAAGAGTGCCGCTTTTTATCGAAAAAGACTTGAATGCCACAATCAACGAGAACACACAGGGAGGAAGAGGACACCAGCAGAGCTAAAAAAGAACGAGAAGGCCAGTAAATCACCACTGCGATGCAATGTACTTCAAAAACACGAAAGAAAAAGTACGTGCTCCGATGCTATTTGCTTGTCTCTGGTTAAACTGCCCTTAGCAGAGTTTGCCATTCGGCTCGGGGACTCAAGTAGAGGCGGCTTTTTCTTGGCGAACTAAAGCTGTGGCTTCATAGTGTTCCAGTTTCAAGCACACACATGCTCATCTGTCAGTGATTGTACTGTCTATAGCAATTGCCAAGGTATATCAATGTTGATGCAAGATGGTAATCGACCTCTCATAAATATGACCAAAGGACCTTGTATGATGTACAGCAACATAAAAATTTTGTGTGCTCTTTATTGAGAACGTTTTTTTTTACAATATGTGCCATTAAGAGATAGTGCAAAATTTCTTTACTCTAATGAGATGCAGCTCGTTAGTGAATACCGCAATAGCTTGATAAGAGAGCCTGCCAATACCCATCCCTCAGAGTGAGAAAACTGCACCCCCATCGGGCATCGTCAGTCGGCGAAAGTAATTTGAGCAGAACAACGAAGTGAAATGGACAGCCTACAAAACCCAATCACGGAACTCAACGATAAGCATGCCTGCCGCTTTGGTTGTACCCTTACCAGATGATGGAATGAAACATTCAGAGAGTTGCATGCTGCTGGCCTTCTATATTGATACACGCATACTTCCTTTGTAACAAGCTTGAGCGGTTCTGAAGTGTTTTGCTACTCTAAAGCAACAAGTGCGCATGTGCTGTCTATTCATTGTGATTAAGGAAAAAAAACGCTCACTGCGCTCCAGTCACACCTACAGCAACGCACATCACTTGCCAACTCAATGCATATTTAGTTCCAGCAATATCGCCGATTTACTTGCCAGTTACGGCATTGGGTCAAAAAAGACAAAACAAGTCTTTTAACAATGTCTCGAAGTCAAAAGAGAAACCTACAATTGGGCTGGTTTCGCTGTCTACCAATGCTACTTGACAAATTCGTTCACGATAACAGATTGATAAAATTACAGACGAAGAAAGATTATGCAGATTTCAAAATTTGTCAAGGAACCGACACAACCGGTGCCTCTTTGAAATGTTGAGCATGAGATGTTAGTCTAAAATTAAGCATTTCATCAACAACACACATCTCGCCTCAAGAGCCACACGGTGGAAATAACGTATGGAACCATACAACATAGGCACATGACAGGAAAGACTACACACGATTTTTTGTAGACTCAGGACGTTCCAGCCCTGCTACTCAAAGCAAGCATACCACACGATTGGATATACAAAACAAGGTGTATGTCTCTTGCCCATATAGTTCACAGTATGGTTTAAAAAAAGCTTTTCTGTAACAGAGGTTCCAGAGGATCTTGCAAGCAAGGAGCCACTACTTGCAAGAAGGCCGAGGATAGCGACGTGTAATTCCCACATGCTGGCACATGACAGCATAGGTAGGCCCTGTGCTATGCTGTACATCGTGCTGTACAGCATATACAATGCAGTGCAAATGCTCAACTGTGCCCAACATCGTCTTTTCGACTCGCAGTTGGGCTGTCGCAAGCCTTTTTTAAAAAGAGGTTTATTTTATTTTAGAAATAGACTTTGAATGTGATGAGGAAGATATTGATTTCTAGTCTTAACTAACGCAGAGTTTAAGAATACACGTCACATACTTTCTTTTTGCCAGCTTCCGAGAGTACCACTGCAAACTCCATAAAAGAACGACAGAAACCAACCAAAACTGCACACACGATTCTTGCATCAGCACTGAGTTTTTCTAGCTTCACTTTGTTTCATTACTCGTCTGTATGCTTTGTTTTTGTCACTTTCTATACACACGAAGAACAATAAAGTGTGAAAAATGTAATTTGCAAATTGTGTCTTGTCTTTGTTGGCTGCGTTTTTATTCTTGTAGTGATAGTAGTAGTTGTGGCAGAGTTTCTGGAGCATGTGTTGTGTCTTTTTTTATTTTTTTTTCCAAGTCTTCTGTGATGTATTTTGAGTTGTCATTCTGTTTAAAGTGTCTGCCCTTCCCACCATGTTGTCTCTCGTGTTGAAGAAGAAGCAATTGTGACGATGTCTGAGCCCCAGCCGCAAGGACAGTAGATAGGGCGGCTCTTCGAAGCTGCAGCGGCCGACCAGCTCTTCAGTACCTCGGCCCCGATGACGAGAAGCACAGCTTGAGAATGTAAGGGAACTTGCCGTCTGCAAAGAGATAGATGCGCAAGCACCTTAGAGCTGTTGCACGACAAGCCTGACAAAAGATATGACATCCCATTGTAGGGGTAGGGTAAAGAGAGAAATGGCAGAAAATGTCTCAAGCAGCACTGAAAAATTTGCAGTTTCCTCTGACGCCAGTTGCACATCTGCAGACTGTTCTATTTCAGCAGCAATTTCGTGTAAGACTGAACGAAGGCCGACGCTTCAAGAGTTTTGTTTACAGCGAGCCTACTGTACCTAGAAACTGAAGCTTATGCACTCCTGAGTGTTAGATATTCCCTGTACTACAGTGCCGCCGTTCTTTCAGTTCCAGTGAAGCGACACGTAACGACTGATTGATGATTGATATGTGGGGTTCAACGTCCCAAAACCACCATATGATTATGAGAGATGCCGTAGTGGAGGGCTCCGGAGATTTCGACCACCTGGGGTTCTTTAACGTGCACCCAAATCTGAGCACACGAACTTACAACATTTCCGCCTCCATCGGAAATGCAGCCACCGCAACAGGGATTCGATCCCGCGACCTGCGGGTCAGCAGCCGAGTACCATAGCCACTAGACCACCGCGGCGGGGCAACACGTAACGACGGTCGGTACTTACTGGGGTTGTTGATTGGAGTGTGGTTGGACATGATTAATGCTTCGATGGCTTCAGATACTGTCTCAAACTCCATCAGACCCGAGCTGCTGCGTTCCGCTGCAAGGCAAGGAAAGCAATGAATCAGGAAAGTCCAACAGTGCATTTTCTCGCACCAAAAAAAAACAATGTGAGTGAACATGATCTTGAATCACGCTCTGTAGAATAAAGTTGGACGAGGATCAGAAGTGAGACTTACTCTTTGATGTGAACATCTTGATTGTTGTTGGCACTGGGCAACCCAGGTCCTCGAACAGCTGAAAAGAAAATCAACTCTCACTAAACATTCCAAATAATGAAAAGAATTACTGACCGAATGAAACATGAACTGACAAATACGTTTCAAACAATTTACTTCCCTCTTCTTTACACAAGATAAAAAGAAAAAAAAAATTCTGGCAGAACCAAAAATTACATGCTCCAACTACAGCGATTTGGGGAAGTTGGCGTTCAACACCCAGCCACAGTGTAACAGACATTGGCACAGAACCACGGCCTTAATGATCTACATAGCACATGTATCTACGAAGGCCCTTAGTCTTCGTAAGAAAAAAAATGACACTGGCTTCACATCTCTTTTAAACATCTTTTTTTAATGCAAGGCACTGACGTGTGTTGCTTTTCCCAGTCAAAGCAATTCACACACCACAATTGGGCATACCATAAAAAATTGAGTACCCAGAGTCGAAGTGGACAAACTAAGGATAGAGCTATAAGCCCCGTAACCTTAAACACGCAAAACTAGAGAGAAATGCAGGTTGCCAAGTTAAGTTACTCAATGTTACTTATCAAATTTTAAGCATTGTCTCTTATGTTAAAGGTTTTCACAATTTTTTACACATTGCGCCGGTAGATCAAGCCCCAAGGATAATTTAGAGACCGATTTGAGCTCTCTGCGTAATTTATTACAACGCCTTAAAACTGCGAATTGCTCCAGATCCCTGCGACTCGGCTAAAGGCGTTTTCAACCGCCCATACACCAAGCGACAGGCTATGCCCCACCGACGTCATCGTTTCTAGCCGATTTGATTGGTTGATTGATTTGTGGGATTTAACGTTCTAAAACCACTATTTGATTATGAGAGACACCGTAGTGGAGGGCTCCGGAAATTTCGACCACCTGGGATTTTTCATCGTGCACCCAAATCTGAGTACAACATTTCCGCCTCCATCAGAAATGCAGCCGCCACAGCCGGAATTTGATCCCGCGACCTGCAGGTCAGCAGACGAGTACCTTAGCCACTAGACCACTGTGGCGGGGCCAGATTTGATTGGCTGTGGAACGCACAGCAGACTGCCGCTATCAAATCGGCAGCAGGATTTACGCATATGCGGTCTCACGCCACATCATGACATAGGCGCCGTGAAGGCGGATCTTAGCCCCGAGCACTCGAAGGAAGAGGGCTGTTGAGGATGAAAGGCGTAGCAGAGGAGGGTACTGTTCTAGTACTCGTAGCTTCGTTAATAATGGGTGTTTGGATTGAACTCGTGCCAATGATTTGCTCCAGTAGTGGTCTAATAAAAAATGACATGCGAAAAAGAAAAAAAAAGGTTCAGGGACTCTTTCAGGAACCTTTGTTTGCATGAGCCCAATACATCCTCCAGAAGCAACCAGATCCTCATCACAACAAGCAAATATTAAAAAAAAAAAGACAGCTGCTCTAATCTTCGTTGGCCTTGGTACATTGCAAGACGAATGTTCAATTTTTGCCGCAGTACTTTGGTAGATTGCAGAAAAGTGTACCAAGATTGGAAAGGGAGTATACTAGCTCTTCATAAATGGACCATATTGCTCCTTAATTACAAGTGAGCATGCGCCATAAAATTACACGGACGAGCTCGATAAACTACTGAAAATCATTGAGGGTTGTCTGTGACGCTGCAATGACCTTGAGGGGGGAAAAAATACATGCCTTTTTGTTTGCATTAGGCAGACGACTAGCACTATACACTAATTGAGCATGCTGGATTTCCATGTTTTTCAGTAATATGAATACTTCGAGACGCTGCAAGAGTGGTATTACTGAAATTTTACTGCACATTTAACTATGCCGTTTTTCGACATTAACATTAGGAGATTACAGCCTACAAGGTGTGAAACGAGCAGAACTTCCACACAATGTTTTGAAATTACATAAGATAGTGAACAACAAACATCTTAGCTGACATTGAAAATAATTGCACACCGTTTATTTTTGCCCCTATATATCACGATGGCTAATAATGAAGCTTACACGACTAGAGCCAAATTTGAGTTATGAGAGAAATTCAGACCAGCTAAATTTAAGACTCACTGTAAGCATGCGCGATAGCAGCTGGGCACAAAAGCAACCGTGCGCTATTCCTTTAAGATTTTTTAAAAGGTAAACACACATTACGCTGCATATATTTACTTGCATAATGAACCCACTCATGCGATCAACTCTCCCTCACTTCTGAATTAGAAATTTTGTTTTTCCGAAAGAAACAGTGGAGCTCGCATCATGTTACCATGTGTTACTGCACTGTGCATAGTCACTGGCATAGACAAGCCTATTGCAGTGAACCATGCCACGAATGTGCTCTATAGGAGGATTCCAGGAAATCAGTCCCCGAGACTAGGATAGCCGTTAGCTTTTTAAAGAGACCTAAAAATTTTAGTTGAAGTTGTGCTGCACAACAAGGAGTGAAATCGCAACATGCCATTGACTCGCCATTACTTTTGCTCAAAGGGGATTGGAAGATCCATTTTGTTGTGCTGTATACATTTCCGATTCCAGATTACTGAGACATGCGAATTCTCTCTCAGTTTAGAAAAAATATGCTCCCACAAAACACATGTAATATATTCTGTTCTATAAACCACACACACAACTGAATAATTTAAATCTGCAAGAGCAGCACACTAATGTACAGAAATTCCAGAGGTTTTATCAAAACCAATCGAGGATCAAGAAGAAAAATTTAAAAGGGAGTGGTGTTTGGGTCTGCATAAAACCTATGCTTGCGTATCATTTGACTAAATCTACAAGTTTTTGGCACAAAATGAACACATTCCCCAAAATGGACATAACCTAATCTGGAAAAAAAGTGGGTTCATTATGCGAGTAAGTAGGGTACTACACCTTGATGTATACCTTCTTGAGGTCCTCATCGGTGATGCCGAAAGGCGTGTTGAAGAAGTGGAGGACGCGCGAGGGCGGCTGAATGCGGTTCTTCGAAGCTGCCTCCGGGTTGGTAAAGCGGTTGTTGCGGTTGCCCATGAAGTCCTTGAAGGACGGCGTGCCATCGGGCAGCTCGAAGGGCAGCTGCACGTCGTTGAGGAAAGCCTGCTTGGAGTAGCCCAGCTGCATCTTGGTGTCGAAGAACTGCGCATTGTTCAGGTGTCCGACAGCCCGCTCCACGGCCAAGGGGTCGCCCATCTGGACCATGGCGCAGCCGTCCTTGCTCTTCAGAAACTTTATCTGCAAAAAGAAGCAAAATACGAAGTCTTGTGATGTTAATCCACGACTTTGTATTGCATGCTTTTACACCTAATAGATCAAAGTGAGATTATGTGACGTGCCAGATTAGCCAGCAGCTTTCAGCTGATAACGGCTACTACACTCAAACCAAGTTATAACAATTTGCAGCACTGTATGACAGAGCTATTTTTCATTTACTTTGTTACTATAACCAATATTTTGTTATATAAGGGCTCGTACATCATAAGAGACGCAGCGAGCAATGGAAAGAAAAATGGTAGGTGTAACCTTCAGAGACAAGAAGAGAGCATAGTGGATTAGGGAACAAACTGGGGTTAAGGATATCATAGTTGAAATAAAGAAGAGGAAATGGACATGGGCCGTGCATGCAGCGCGTACACAGGATAACCGCTGGTCATTAAGGGTGACTAACTGGATTCCCAGAGAAGGCAAGCGGGCTAGGGGGAGACAGGTTAGGTGGGCAGATGAGATTAAGAAGTTTGCGGGTATAAATTGGCAGCAGAAAGCACAGGACCGGGCTAACTGGCAGAACATGGGAGAGGCCTTTGTCCTGCAGTGGACGTAGTCAGGTTGATGATGATGACATCGAGGTTTCAGTGTACTACCGTGGCACAGGCTGGCCATGGACTGTAAAAGCAATCTCCAATGGTTAAAGAAGAATGGCGATTTGGGCTAGTTGGTTTGAATTCATGATAATAAGGGTTGCAGCGCGAGCACGAATGTGCTAGAAGAAACAGACGAAAGTCGAGGTACGAAAGGCAAAGCGCTCGTGTTGTCCTCTTTGCCTTCCGTACCTCGACTTTTGTCTGTTTCTTCTAGCACATTCGTGCTCGCGCTGCGACCCTTATTATCTCCAATGGTTAGTTGGTTTGCACTGCATGGCATGACGAAGAGGAACACTCACTCTGACAACGTTCCCATAGAGGCACAGCAAGTTGAAGAGCTTCTCAGCGTTCATCTTCTCAGAGTTGAGCCCATACACCATCAGCACAGAGCCCTGGTGAGGTCCGGCAGCCTGCGGGGATGCGTTGGCTCCACCCATGCCATAGTTTGGGCCGTCACGCCTGCAAAATATGGCCAACAGCTAGCAGTCAGATGCAAAACCACAGCTGTGCACTGCAGCGCGACTGCTTATAATGAAACTTGTTATTGAACGAGCTTTTTGCAGTGAAACATCACTCGCAATACAATACTATCTATGCAAATGGAAGTCTCTAAAATGGAACAACAGCCTGTTCATTGAATTGATTGGTTTCATTGAATTATGCATCTCCACTGACATCTCAGTTAGTGGAACTCTTGTTAAATGGAACATATTTTCCTGCTTCCTTCAAACAATAGCATCATATAATGTAAACCCATTCCAGGTGCAAAATTTTCAACAGAGCTATATTTCCATTTGTGTACCATAGCCTCCAAATAATTTTTTTTTCTGGCCTGTAGTAATTCTTGTGTTACCCAAAACATTACAATTTATGCACTAGCAAAAGTGATATTGCCTAGTAGTGACAACCATGTCTCATGATCTTTCGAGGCCAGCTACACAACAATACCAGCAAGCACAGTCTTCAACACGCCAAAATGATGTCCCCGAGTCAAACGTGTTGGCTCCCATTTAAAAACTTTCACAAAAAGGCCATGCCACACAAAGTGCCAAAGAAAAAGACAATTCCCACTAGTAGATGTGCGCACTTCACAATGTTTGAATGGAAGACCTCCTTTCATCTGAACATCACGAAGCACATATTTACAACTATGGATTTCAACCAACTCTCTTGAAAGAAGGCAAACTCACCCATCATGCGGCGGACCACCGTAGCGATCCTGGGGGGGCCCGTTGGGGGGTCCACCATAGCCGTCGTTGTAGCCACCGCCAGGACTGTTGTACTGTCCTCCCCTGGGACCGTAGTCATAGTCTCCACGGTCGGGGCCATAGCCGGGACCAGAGGCAGGGCCCCTGCCATCTCCTGAGTTGCATGCAGGGAGAAAACAACGGCCTGTGCTCGGCAATCAAGTTCAAAAAAGAAATCTGCACACTAAGACGATATCGTACGATGTGTTATCAAGTGTTCAAATTTAAACTAATTTTGATGCGAGAGTGAAGCACTGCTTTACTACAATCCAAAAAGCACACACTGAAATCGAAAAAACGAACAAAAACGCCAGAGTGGGACAAAAGGTATCGCCTTTGCCAAACAAAATAGAAATAAGCAAAAAAAATATATATAGGCATACCTTCAGGACAGTAGTCATACTCTGCCTCAACGCTGTCCTCTGCACCGAAATAGTTAACCAGAAACAGTTTACCAAACAAGAAAGTGAGAACAGTGATTTCCATGAGTTCTTCTCCATAATGGCATATTTTGTAATGGTATCAACAATCATTATTACAAAGAGTATAGAATAATCATTCGTTACTTCCCACCTCCAGTATTTGTATATATGTCTGTAGATGCAAGTTATTATTCAGGAGCAAAACACAACCAGACTGCAGGAGCGAACCAGATGCAAGTATGAAAACCTAGAAATCTGTTGTTGAAGATCGACTGCATGATCATCACAAGGGAGAATCCGGGTGGCTTTATTACAAAATTGGATTCGATTTCTCTAAGTGTTATCAACACACATCAAACTGCATCAGCACAAAGCAAAACTAAAGGAGAAGTTCCTAAAGCAAGACATAAAATGTGCAACAGCTACAAAGAGCTGCAAGATAGAGTACCTAGAAACTTTCTTCATTCAATAGATTTTGAAATACGCAGTAACTGTAGGGCGCTTAGGACATTAAGACACTAGTGCTCATGGCATTAGCAGAGCTGTGAACAACACAATGTGATCAGCCCCCCCCCCCCCCCCCCCCGCCCCTAAGTGATTCATTAAACGTGAATATGTAAAGCTGTTGTGCAATGCTACACTTGTTTTTGATAAGGTTTCTTATCTATATATACTCAAACAAAATATCGGTTATAGCAAGGTATATAAAATGGTTTTGCAATAGATATGATAGAAATATACTTATAAATGAAGTTTCAGATATAACAAACTTATTTTCATGCGAGATGCAACTTTGTTAATGAGGATAGAGTGTAATCAAATAGCCTGACTTGGAGGCAGGGTGCTGGTCGAAACTCCGCACACTTACTGTAGTTTCCAAAGCCACGAGGCTCTCCGAGAAGGGCTGGACGCTCACTTCCACTCTTCCCTGGACAGAAACGGGCCAGGCATACGATCACATTTTGCGACTTGCAATGGGTAGCAGTCAAAAGTGCCCCAATGTTTCAATTAAGAGGCGTGAAGCGATCATAGTACTCATGGCTGTTGAAATGAGACTGGTGGCATGAATTCCCAACGAAAGCTCTGCAAGGTTGGTTAGAATAGATCATGGGTCTTTTCACTGATGAAAGAATTGGGAATTAGATTGCGCAGTGCTGTGATATCCGGCAAATATGATCACCATGGTCTGCTGTACGAACTGGCAAGGTTGTTTGGGAGAGGGGGGGGTGTAAAAAAGTATGAGCGTGTTTACTGGCGTCTTCTACTGAGAGACAAATAACACTGCAAAAATACAAATACGAGATCAATCCTGTTACAGGCAGTTCCATTTAAGATTTCAGTTTATTGAGAGCCGACTGTATGATTTCAGAACATTCACGATTAGTGTACAAAAGATATAGATTGTTCAAACTACTCTTCAAACAGTAATAGGCCCTCTAGAAAATGCAGTTGCGTAGCTCTGCAATGTGGGTGAAAAAAAAATGTTGTCATGAAAAATGCATGCACATAAACAGTACAAAAGGCAGAGTGGTGTGTTCGGGATAAAACAGCCAAGCCCGAAATAAAAAGCGAGACCACACTGTGGCTCTACCCATGTGCTTTGGTTTTAGCTCAGTGTACAATGTGCCAACACCTTTCCACGTTCCCTACTGGACACTCTGGCAGTGCCATTAGTGAAATTCCAACGTGCGCAGTCTGTGTCAGAGGGGAACACTGTGCACCCCCGATTTCAGACATCACCAGGTGTAATGGGGACAACTTGCCATTGCTTCGATCCACCTATGCCCACCACCGACAAAAACAAACACGTCTTTCTGCCACTCTAGCACATTCACCCATGCTCACAGGATCGGGACATGCTTGGTATCACTTTAACACTGTACAGATAGACCGCATGATTCGTTTGGGCCTCACTCACACCGACGATTAGGTCTGTTGTGTATGTTTTTGCGCACTCACCCCGCAGAGTGACCAGTCACAATGCTTCTCTTGTGTTGGAAAATTGGATCAGTTGCCCCCTACTCGGCTTTTGTGCACTTCAAGAACTAGGCAGTGAACTAACAGTCACTTTTCCAACATAAGTGACTGCTTCCGACTTGTCACTTAGCAACTACAGCATCGAAAAACATTGGCCATGCTAAAGGAGCAATTTGTCAGTGTGAATGAGCCCCTCTCTGCACCAGCACTGCACACACTTTTTAACATGTCAATGTGCGATATCAAAAGAAAAACAGTTTTACTACAAAATAGTGCAATCTTTTTACCATGCAAAGAAGTTGACGGCAGAATCACCCCGGAGACCTTTCCAAGCGGGTATCCAGACCCCCATGCACCGGCATGACGTGAATGCCAGTGCCAAACAACAAACCAATCCGAGGCCTGCTCCGGTAGAATTAGGCTTCGCGTCAGGGCGTTGCCGCTGCGAAGACGTCACAGTCCGCCGCCAGCAGAGATTTGGTCAGAGGCGAGAGAGAGAGAGGCTAGAGACTTGAGATCGTTCACCACCAGCGGCTCGTCGGCTGCTGCGCCCCACCGCACCACCACAGAGGGAGGCAAGAAGACACCACCAGGGGGCTCCAGCCTCCTGGATGGGGGGAGGGGGGGACACACACAGACGTGCACATCCGGTTAGAGCCACTCTGCCCCTCGGCAAGCCAGGCAGGGTGCAAGGAATGGTGGTGGTGGTGGTCGATTGCGGCTCGGGTCGTGTGGTTGGTGGTGGTAGTAGTGGTTGGTTATTGGTTGGTGGTGAAAGCATCATCTCGCATGGCAGCAACCTTCCGAGCCCCCTCTCGTTCTTTCTGTGCCGTGTTTTCTTCGTATCCAGTTGTTTCTGTTGTTCTCTGTTCTGTTGTGGTGGCAAAAAGCAAGTTTTTTCTAAGAGTGGTGATGAATCGTTTCATGGGTGGGTGAGGTGGGCTGTCATTCATGTGCCCGGAGGGGAAAAGGGGGGCTCAGTGAAACTTTTTTTTTTTTTGCATCACTGGTGTCGCACGCGTGCACCCCTTTTCCAACCTCTTCTCGCACGTGTCACGGTGGGAAAGATATGGCCGTCTCTCGGCTCGGCAACTCCCTGCCTTGTTCTTCAGTCTTGGATCGAGAGGGAAAGAGCGGTGGTCTGTGGACAAGTGTCTGGGGTCTGAAGCCGGATTCGCTACACTGGGGACCGCGAGCGGATGGCTGGCTCCTCTCTAGTGTAGAGCTCGACGTAACGTCCACGTGACACGTGTGCCGACATGTTTCCGCGGTCGCCGGGGGGGCCTCTGTGGTGCAACAATCCTCACACTGGATGGGAAGGCGCGAGTGCCTTCTGTGTTTTTTGTAAAGCAGAGAGGAAAAAAAAAACACAGCAGCAGGAAGGCCAGCACAGCCAGCCCACTTGGTAATGTGTTAAAGAAAAAAAAAAAAGCTAAATAAGCAGACTCTACCACGCAGTGTTTCTAAATTATGTAGTCTTTTTATTTTCCATGTATTGACCCATTGCATGTCACAGTGTTGCCAGCATGTGAAACATGTTTCTTTGGTGTGCACAACCACAGTGACAATGTGAACACCAGTTAAAACAAACATTGAAGTGAGTTGCTAACGAACATGCACAATCTGCAGATTTTCTGGCTGTCATTTTTATTTGGTAGCCAAGAGAAAGACTCTAGGTGTATGGTAAAAGAGTTGCGAAAAACAGGTGCATGCCTTAAAGAGGCCCTGAAATACTTCGTGTAATTACCACATTACTCTTTATCAGAGTTCGTTGCCTCACGAATCAACTGCCGCAAATATATATATATTTTGATGCCATCAAGTGTTAGCAGAGTTACAGAAAACTGTCGTACGCTGAAATTTACATAGGGGGGACAATAAAGGGGCGAAGCAACATCAGTGCTCGTTGTCGCCTTGACCACATTCTTTTCTCATACTGCCTCGGCTCACTTTTAGTTCACCGGAGCCCGAACTACAAATAACCAGAGTTTTCTGACCCTATTACGAAGGTGCTGCAGGGGCCCCTACCGTCTACGATACATTAACGTGTCATATATTGCTTTCCTTCCTAGATGTTATTGCTCAACAATTTGCACCTGCAGAGCATATTAACCCGCTAACCGTGCATGTCCTAGCACTTCACCACAAGCACAAAACGCCACTTTCTAGGTAAAGCACGATAACTGGCACTGCTGAGCACATGAAGAGATGCCGAGATATGGGCACAACATGCCATATAGGAGAATACTTTTTTTCCACATGTAATGATCACTGAAGCATCAGGAGGCACTGTGCGAGAACACACTCGGCAGCATTATCGAAAGCAGCACATTAGCACCAAGCTAAAACCAAAGCAGGCAAGCCAGAACCAAGGGCTCTTCTTACCGCAATGAAACAACACAAAACAGGGACTGCGATTGAAAGTGAACCTTTTTTATACCTCACTTGCATTGCTGCTAACTATGGCAGTTTCACAAAAAAGCTTGGACAATAAACAATCCATATTCTTCATGCATTAGTGCAATTGTACAGAAAGATTCCGCACAAGTGATAAGCCCTGGACAATTTTTGATACCCCAGCTCTAACAAGCGCTCAGCTGTTTAACTTCGTAGGCTAGGACAAACAGCAATTATCTAAGCAAAAACGTCCAGTTAACACTGATCTTGTGGGTGAGCAGCGGTCATGTTAAATGCAAAGCCAACTGTACAGCCATGAACAAATCAAACTAGAACAAAAAACTTAACGTTCTGCTTGATTTTTTGCATTACTATGAGACATATAGCTTTACAGTATAGAGACTACTAGAAGCCTTCAACGTGCTGAACAAACATTTCAATGAGGCCAATCCTTTGCCCATGACTGCACACAACTAAGAGCTATGATGCTATTCTCCCCACAAGTCAATCAATGTGACAACTCCCAATGAATTAAGGGAGTCGTAGGGTAAGAAATATCCCCAGGCACTCACCAAGGTTGGGGTTGGTGTAGTCCCAGCTGTCGTTGTCGTTCTTGTAGACGTTCAGTCTTGTAGGCTGTAGAAAAGAGAAGACAGGAAAATAAAAATTGAGAATATGGTTCAGATATCTATGACCAATGTGAAGATGCTTATGAAATGCATGACACATTCCAATAAAATCAGTTCTCATTTAACCTCCTCGCACCGTTTCATGACATTTTGACGTACGAAAGACTGCAAATTAATTGAAGGCTCACGTTTTTGCCGGACAACTTTAAGAAACTAACAGACAATGAAACCAAGCCATACACGGAGACTTGACTGTAGAGTAGCAATTATGACACAAATATGAAGGAGGCGATTCGAAGGGTGCTTTGTTTTCTCTACTGCACATCTTCGCAGCTTTAGGTTGAGCCATTACAGGTTCAGTGGGCTTGTTAGTCGGCCTCTGCGCCACCCTGACATCGCTCTTGTGCCTGTATTTGCACTGCATGCCTGTGATCTTTCAATATAAATCCCTAACAACTAGCTTTGCTGGGTCATTCTGTTGCCGATGATGCTTTCTTTCAGCCAATTCTTGCAGCAGTGTCCTTGCCGAGTTTAGAGATTAATGCTCTAAAATTTCTGCAGATGGTGACAGACTATGTTAACCACCACTGTAGCATAATTCAGAGTTGCTCATTATTTTGAACTAAGAAAATTTCTTGGAGCTAAGAAATTTCTCGCCGACCCCGGATGCACGACCGTGCTGAGCGATTCCAAGACCGCAGAGCAAAACTACGCTAGAGGCAGATCATCTGTGGCAGCAGTGTGGGTGCTGCGCGCGGTTAACCTAGCGAACAGAACGGTGACAAGTGGTTCCCGGCCCACAAGGGCAAGGAGCTGTTGCCTCGCGGCAGCGCGAACCATGATTCGGTTAACGAGGCGGCGCGAGGTTTCACATACCGCGCCACCCAACCGGCCAACTCGATGGAGGAGTGCTGGGGCCAAGCCAAAGACATCAAGACAGAATACAAAGAAGTATTGAAATGGTACAGACTAGGGCGCAGGACTGTGCCCCCGCCTCACTCGGGCCTGATCCGAAGTGAGGCAGTAACATTTTGGCAACTGTAGTCGCTACCCACGCAGGTGCTCATGAAGCAAGTTTGTTCTAACGTATACGCAAGTGACCTGTGTCGGGTGTGAGGAATTGAAAGAGCTACTGCAGCCCTCATCGTGTGGGATTGTGAACAGAATCCGAGGGAAACAAGAACAGTGACGACGATCCCGCCATGGCTTACGGCCGCCGCGGGAAGAGCTGACACGGGGGCCGTCCAGTGGATCTTCCAGTGGATCTCGGCTGCCCTCGAAAAGCAACACCCCAACACAGGGGCAGGCGCGGGTGCCAGAAGGCGGGAGTAGCGAGGACTGCTCGTCGAGTAGAGGACGCCACTCCAAGGTGATGTGTGGCCGCATCACGATGATCCATCCTTTCCTCGCGGGGCTAGGATTGTGCTCCACCAGATCACCAAGTAAAGTGTTTCTCACTTCTTTGCAGAGACCCAGAAGCTCACTGCTTCAGAAAAGCACGAGGACTCATGTTTGGATTTTCCGTCTGTTTCTCTGGTTGCAGTGCCTTGCCCTACCCTAAGCAAGCAACACTTCGCAGACACGACGCCCGCTTCGCACGCAATCATCTGCTCGTCCAAACAAGCCAAATTTAGGAAGTAGACAGTACTGTGTGGTTGCTGCAAATCGAGCTACGCTGATGTAACAAAGATTGCATGTTGATAGTGTTTGAGAGAGAAGGGAGGCAATGGAGCCACAAACACACACATAGAGAGGAAGAAAAAGAGAAAGGATAGAAGCAAGTGTTCATGCGCGTGCCTAAGGACGATGGGCCTCCGCCCAAATAACGGAGAAGACGATTCTGGGCCAGTGATAATCGTCGCGTGACAGGAATCGCCAAGAGCTTCATGTCACGCCACAGAACGACACCAGAGTGAGGTGAATGTGTCTCTCCTTTTCCCTCTTTCCGTGACACGGAACCATCGAATCTGGCCGGGCGACAAGCCGAGCGTCGTACCAGACGGGCGCGCCCTCTACCACGCTCGCGCTACTTTCGCGAAACTTTGGGACGTGCCGGCTCGACCCACCTGCGGTGGAGGAATGGGGGCGGCGAAAGCGAAAAGTCGGGAGTGTCGCCGCCGCCGTCACGTGACGTCCCGAGGACAGACCGACGAATACTTTTTTCGGCCGCAGAGGCGACAAATTCCTATCCCTGAAAAGCATTTTTCCCCACCGACGATTCCTCACATTCGAGTGAGAGGGCGCAAAGAGGCAAACTATAGCCGTTGGACATGACCACGTTCCGTGGTGGTTTTGCCACAGGCGGGCGCGAGACCACTGCAGGTCAGGGTCTAGTCGGACCACCGAGAGCGCCGTCGGTAGGTTTCGGCTTCGCCCGCTGAAAATTTACGAATTCCTACAAAAACGAGAGTTGGAACAATTTTCCTTCTCGAAATCCACTCTTGCCTACTACCACCTGTGCAGCTCACAATTTCTCTAAACCAGCACACGCGAACGTAACCAGCCGTCCACAGATTCGAGACGAGTCTGGCACAAAACAGATGTTATTTACACCTTGGTTTAATCGATCATACGTACACAAACGACGGTTTCAGCGAACTCCATTGTTTGCCGTTTCTCGCCGATGTGTTAGCACCCTCCTGCCCAGCAGAATGTCTCGCTTAAACGCTTGCTGGCACCCTAATCGAAAGCTCTCCATCCCCCTCGGCGTTCTGCGCCTCAACTTGGCTCTCTCAGCACGACACCGTCCGGGGAACAGCACACGAGTGCGCAAAGCCATCTACGTGACACCGGCGGTCATTACGGCAAGCACACGGCATTACGGGTAGGGCCCCGCGGTGCCACGGCTTATCTCCCAACACAGCACACTGGCTCGCAAGGACCAAGAGCACACAAAAGGCGCACAACAGCACCGCTCCCTCCACACGCTATGCACGGCAAAGATTCAGCGCCGGCTGCGTTCATCACGCCTGACGCGGCACTAAATCGCCAACCACCATCCGTTCGCAAAAAAAAGCCCCTTTCCGAAGCCCTCGTTTGCGCCCACAAGGCGGCCTGGGGGATACACGGTTTCGCAAGACGGCCACCGATAACCGCCGTTGATATTTGTTTTTCGTCTTCGTTAACCTCCAAGCAAAGTGCGCGGCGATATTTCAGCCCGCTTATCGGCCTGCCGCCCACCCGAACAGGAGGAGGATGCGGCCAGGGCTGACGCCCCACCGGCACTTGGCTCAGAAACTCGTGCGATATGCGCACACGCCCGCCTCTCCGCTGCGCCACCTGTCAGCAAACTCGCGCACACCATGAAAGCTGTTGGCCAGAATAAACGAGGTGAATTGGACCAGCCGGCGTAGGTTCATAATGTATCGCATGACTAAGAAAAACGATACACACAAAAGACAGTACAGAACATTATTATGCGCTACTCCACGCTACGAAGCTGCTCGCTGCAGCAATGCAGGCCAGGCCCACCATGGTAAACAAATTTAGGCCTTCAATCACACAATTCCTAGCGTTTCCGCGTGGCCAGGGTATAGTACAGTCGACCATAAAAAAGTTTACGGACCACGTGAGCGCATGGCCGAAAGCCTCTTCGCCACACTTCCGTTACGTCAGCGGCGGTCAACAGCACCGCAGCGCCTTGAAGGCGTCCCCCGCCTAATCAGTCCCAATCTTCATCACAAAGTGACACCTAGCCAACAAAACGCCGTGCGAGGCACGCCATGGTAGTTTCGATCCTCCTACGAAAACAGCAATATAATGGTCATACTGCAGATAAGCACTTCGCGTGAAAACCGCGAACTAAGAATGCGTTACGCGGCAGTAGAAAACTGAAAGGTCAGTGAATAAGAAGACAACCCGTTTCCGGCCTAGAACTGATTAGATAGTTAGATTTGTGGGGTTTAACGTCCCAAAACCACCATATGATTCTGAGAGACGCCGTAGTGGAGGGCTCCGGAAATTTTGACCACCTGGGGTTCTTTAACGTGCACCCAAATCTGAGCACACGGGCCTACAACATTTCCGCCTCCATTCCGGCCTAGAACTGCGGTCGACGGTAGATGGCGCACCCCTGGTGGCGCGGACAGGCAGTTTGGCACGCGCTTGCATGGTCCGCATACTTTTGTGGTCGACTGTGCATTGTAGTCGGGGAGCAAGAACTGCGTCACGAAGCCGGCTTAGGTGAGCAAAAAAAAAAAAAAAAGAAAGGAAATCTTGCACGCACGCTCAGGAAGGGCGCCTCCAAAGGTGTCCCGTTTTCGAACGACTTTTCATGCGTGCTTCTGTGCGTCAGCCGCAACAGAAAAGAACGCCAGAGCCTTGACCCCACGCATCCGTTGCAGTAGAGTGTACTAGAATACGGTATAAATTCTAGTACACTACAGTAGCAGCGCGTCGCCGCCTGTCTTTGACGCGGTGCCGAACCCTCTCCCATATGGAAGGAGAGAGAGAGCGCAGCCAACAACGGCCACCCAACTGTGCGGGGCACGCATTGAAAAAACACTGAACGTGCGTGAAATTAAGGTGCCGCACTTTGTCTCAATAAAGCGACGTGACACCATCGCGGGAAGCCCAGGTTGGACCTTAGCAAATCCCCGAGGGGAAAATGTGCTTGCGCTACGTGCCCGCAGGGAGGGAGGGAGGCGCGCCGACTCCGAGAGCGTTCTACGCACGCTACGCTGACACACACACACACACACACACACACACACACACACACACACACACACACACACACACACACACACACACACACACACACACACAGTATCAAGGAAACAAAACGGTATCTGGTAAATTAAACAGTGAAAACAGTCTTTTGTTTACAGCTATAGTTTTTCCAACGTCATATCAGGACTGGCGCCCAACTCTTGGGACAAAGCCCAACTAAGAGTTGGGCTTTGTCCCACAGTTTAACAAACGCAAGCGCCCCAAAGCTTAAATCAGCGGAGTCAGACAGGGAGCTAAATGGCACCTAATTAAGGACAGCTTTGGTTAAGGTAAACA